ACCCATCTCATTTTTGGTAATTCTTTAACTTTTTAGCTAATCTTTTCTTATTTATGAGGACAGCATATGAGATCTCTTTTTCCCGTGCTCTGCCACAGGTGAACCAGTGTTTATGCTTATCCTTTGGAAAAAGAAGCCCACCTTTCCTTAGCTTCTTGGTTTCTTGCCCATGGTTGAAGATAAATTTTAAGTTTTAGCTTATCCAGATTTTTCTTCTTGTTGCTCTTTCCATCTCTCTACAGTCTGGGCACTACAATGGCGGGGCCTAAAATTTTTAAAAACTCCGCTCTGAAGCCATGCATATTTCTTTCATATAAATTAGCTCACAAGTGAGCAACAAGTAGGGGATGAGGTCAGTATAATGCTGAAATAGCATTGGTTCTTGTGCAATTTCCCTTGGCTTATTAACACTTTGAAGCAACCTGAGGGAGCCTTTCTCAAAAATTAAAGTCTTACAAATGTATGCCAGAATTCAGGAAGAAACTGGAACTCTCCAATCTTGACTTCTGCACATGTTGTCTGGTTCAGCGACTTGCTTCCACTATCTTAGGCTTTCTGAGCAGACTGAAAGTGAAGATAAAGACATTGCCAAGATATTATACTCTATGTTAAAACAATGAACTCATTAAGAAGGCTACATCCTAAGTCCAAATATTGATGAAAATGTTCTCTATCAGAAATGAATGCCCACCAAGACATATATTGCAAAAGAGGAAATACATGGATCCCAAGCTTCATGTATTTATCTATGCTACTATTTTTATTAGAATTGCTATTGATTTCTACAAATATTTTGGTTTCAAATTTCCATAGGTTTGAGTTATCTGCTCGAGTCCTGGTTTCCCCATAAAACCTGTTATTTTGGGGTGCATAATTTTGTAGGATGAGAATTTTTAAGATTGCAAGAAGATCATATAGCCAAAAATGTCTGTAATATGTATATTTTTTCTGATCATGGAAGCCATACATGTTTATTACTGAAAAATTGGAAACTACAGGGAAAAAGGAAAAAAATTCAATAACCAACAATTATCCTGTTTAGAGATAATTTTTAATTCCCATATACTTACTTTAAACATAATTGTAATCAAGATGCTTTATTTCTCAAAACTGAAGAAGGCAAATCATTTTAAAAAATAATTTCTGCACAATGAGGGAGAGAATATATGTAGAGAAATTCAACATATACACATATGTACTAAAAAAAAACCCTCTCCCCAAGAAAATAACTGGCAGAGAATAGGCATATTCATGCTTTTATCTGACTGAACTTAAATAAAATCTAGTTTATGATCATTTCAAAACACTGCTCTGTTCTCCTAACCAGTAACCTTGAGATTTTGGACATTTAAACTTTAAAAGATATTTTTCTGATCAAAGGGTATTAATTTTTATGATTTATTCAAAATCAATAAAAAAAACTTTTGGCACGTATGCTATGGAAAGCAATCCACACTGCCATTTTACAGCACAACTCAAACACTAATCATATAATTGTGTATCACTCACTCACTTTAACATGGACCATCTTGTTGAATCTGCTTCAGGAATGATCTTCTGCAATACCCGCTCCTGTCTAGTCTTATACTTGGGAATTCCGCAAAGGACCAGGAAGAAACAAACAGGGCCAAACATCTCAGGTAATTCAACAGGAATGTAATGTGCAGACCCCATAATGGTATGGACACTGCAAACAGGCCTTGAAAACTGTTTTTGCCTGTAAGGAAAGAATCCCCCTTTTCCTTCCCTCCCCCATCCAAGAGAGAAGTCTCACAAAACAGAAGTAAATACTCAGAGATTCCCTGGCCTCCAGATGAAGGCTGGTGAGATTTGTTCATTTGGATGGACAAGCACGGGCATATACAGTTATCGCTAGAAAAAGGAGTTGTCATTGTGTGTACAAACAGACGCACCAACCCCTAACCCAGAGGTCAAAGGGCAATGCTGCGGGAAGTAAGTGAACACAACCCCTGAGCTTAGAGAGTCTATTTTTGATTGCTTTCCTAATTTACTTTGATTTACTATAACTAATTTGCAATAGTGACTGGCAGTCAGCCCTTGGAAAGGGTGCTTCTAAATTTAAAATTCAATTTTACTTCATTTCCAGAAATGCTTATTAAGCCCTTTCTAAGTGCCAGGTAATATGCTAGGTCCTGGGGATAAAGATGGGAACAAGAAACATGGTGGCCTTGCCTGCAGTCTAGCAGAATGTCAGAATGAAGTGTATCTTCTCATTTCCCTCAAAGAACATTGACTTTAAAACATTTTCTGGGGTTCCATCTCATGCCCTCTGCTTGGCCAGTCATCGGGGCTTCGTCACAGGCTTCTCGTAGTGGAGGGGTTTGCAGAAAACGAGCTGCCGGGCTGGCAGTGGCCACGCTGGGTGGGTGGGAATGGCCACTTCCTGGTGGACGCAGTAGCATCGGTGTCCTGGCCAGGCAGCTTCTGCAGCCTGAGTGGGGATATCGCTCTCAATGCACAGGCCCTGCAGAGCCTTGGCAACTCTGTGAGCTCAGCATTGCCCTTTTTTTAAATTAATTAATTTATGTTAATTGGAGGCTAATTACTTTACAATACTGTAGTGGTTTTTGCCATACATTGACATGAATCAGCCATGGGTGTACACGTGTTCCCCATCCTGAACCCCCTGACTCTTTTTATGTTTCTTTTCTACTTAAGTCAACCAGAATCTGTTTCTGTCTCCTGCAACTCAGAATCCTGACCAAGACACATGGTTAGACTTCTGCTCCCTGCAAGCATTCTGTCCCATTTCAAATCACATGGGGAAAAACACCTGAAGAAAAGCTGTGTTCTGTTCTATATGACTGACATACTTCATCTAAGTAAGGCGGTCCTCTCAACCAACGGTTCTCAGCTTCAATACCAGCATCAACTGTAAGTTGTGCCTCTATGGGTCTCTTACAACAAAGTTTAGGGATTTTATTTATTTATTTTTTTGTATCAAATTAGGACAGATGCCACAGCACCGCTGTCACTTATTTGCATTCACATGTGCTTCCTTGGATTGGAGAAAAAGAGTAGAAACAAGGGTGCTAGAAATGTTTCAGAAACTATAGTTCACTCTATTTGGGCTGCATCTTGAGAAGGGTGTTAGGCGTGGGTGACAGCTGCATTAAACTACGCAGTCTTCCGCAGACTGGGGGGCAACTGGACAACTTCATCTTGAAGAGGCTGTACTTGCAGAATTGGGTCCACTGCGTGCTCCTGCATGGACCCACCACCAGCTTTATGGTCACGGTATCAACCCTTCTGTCAGCAGCCTTTCGTATAAAGTTACAGAACACATGTCACAAGGGCCTGACGTAACTCGAGGACAAGGAAATGTTTTAAGTTCTAGGGCTGCTCCGAGTCATAGGAGACTGGTCACGTTGCATAACCTTTTTTGACTATTTCTAGGGGCATCCCATGCACAGCTGTTGCAAGGTACGCTATTACAGTTTGCCCAGATTCTAGCACCTGTTGTAGGCAATTTGAAATAAAAACAAGTTGGTGGGGAACATAATAAGGTATCTGAGAACACACTTCTTTCAATTGGAATACCCCTGTGGACTATTCCATTTCACTAAACTCTGCAAGCATTCTTCCTTGTCATTATTTGCCAAGAGAAGAGGGAAAAAAATAACACGTATATTTTTATAGGAAACAAATCTGCGTTCCACTGGTCCAGGGGCCACAGACACAGACTCCTCTTGCTTATTCTCCTGCAACCTTTCTCTTCTCTCTTCTTTAGGCTAGTATCTCCTCCACCCTTTTAATTTGTCCCAGTTGCCCTTTCCCAAAGAGCCCTCATTTCCTCTTGTTCCCCAGATCTGCACTTCCTGGCCCCTTGCCTCTTATGAGAGGACATGACTCAAGGAGACCAGGTAAGGGAAAGAAATGAATGTCATGGGGTCCTCAGGGTGGACCTATCTGACTCCGTGAAAAGGAGAGGCCAGGCATCTGCATCCACTTGGGAAACCCTGAGTCCTGCTCTGGTGCTCACCCTCCCACCTTGAAACTGTCTCCTTGACTAGGAGATTGCTCAGGACTGCTTAGAGAAACAGCTTGGAGGTCAGCAATGTCTAACCCCACTAGAGTCTTCCCGGTTCCTAAGTTGATGCCCAGACTGCTTTTTGATCTTTTTGTTTCTGTTCTGAAAATGTGAGTGCTTCCCCTAAACTCTTTATCAGCTAATGTCATTTTTCAAATGTTAGGAGGCAGAGATGTGGGGCAGACAAAACCCAAAAGCACAGAAAGAAAGAAAAAAAAGACAAAACAGAAAGAAGAGATATGAGACAGGCAGATGGCATCTGACAGAAAGTGGCCCAGGAAAGGGTGGTGGTCTGCCAGGGAAGAAAGAGAACGGGGTTTTGAGCTGGCCCCACCAAGGTTCAAGTCCCAGCAGCTCCACTTGCTAAGCACATGGTCTTGGGTGAGAGGGGCGGTCACTCTGTTTCCTTAACCGTTAATTTTCCCATCTGTAGGATGTGGTTCACAATAACTTCCTTGCAGGTTGGGTATATGGATTAAATTCATAATGTGTCTAAGATGCCTAGCTCAATGCCTGACTAGTCATAGCTGCCCCATAAATTACAGAAAATATATTCAACACATATATCGCTGGAGTCACAGCCAATGGCAGGAGTAATTCTGGCTGGAATTTCTCGTGTCCTTGAGCACCAGCATCTGGTTGCTGTTAGGTATCAACTGATAAGCCTTTGCCCTAACCCCACATTCCAAGTAGGTGTCTGTATTGAGCAGGGTTGTTCCTGAGGATCTGAGTGTCATTACCACAAACACCACGGCGATGTCTGTGAATGGAAATTGCAGACAAGTGAAGATGCAGTGGGGCGCGGGGGGGCGGGGGGGGTGCCTGGGACCTCACCTCCACAAACCTTGCATCCCAGGGGCCCACAGAAGGCAGCGAGGGCTCCTTCTCTCTGCAGACTGCCCTGGTCTCACCCCTCCCCCCTCTGACTTCTCTTTCTGCTCCTCTTCAGGGAAGGCATTCGGTCTCTGAGCAGCGCTTCCACCCAAGGGAGCCCATCTCCTCCCAGCATCTGCACCCCTGCGCAGCATCCCCAGGCACACAGTTGCCGCTTGCTTCATCGGAGCTCCCAGAGCACCAAGGAGAGAAAGGGCAGCTGGAGAGGGGCCAGGCACAGAGGGCGGCTCCCGCCTCCAGCGCGGGCTGAGCCTTGAAATCCTTCAGAACCGCCAGGAGCTGCAAATAGGACTAAGCAAAACAGAAAAGCCTAATTTTACATCTTCACCAACCTGTGTCTCTAAAGCCTCCTTATGCCCAAGTGTCTGCTAAACAGAAACGACCTACTGACATGACTTGCGGGGTTAATATGGAAACATAAACCTGCAAAAATAGCTATAAAATTATGAAGAAAAACTTCCCTTGAGAATGACGATTAGTCATCTTGAGTTGAAAATTTTCGGTTGAGAATGTTCACTCTCTCTTTTCCTCCCATTGCTTTTCTTTCTATAGCTTTATTTATGTAGAATTGAGGCATAATAAATTGCACGCACTTTAAGGGTAAATTTGATGGGGTTTGACACATGTATACGCTTGTGAAACTCTCACCACCGTCAAGATTCCCAGTGGATGCGTCACCCCGAACGTCTCCTTGTGTTGCTAGTACTTTGTTCTTCCCTTCATCATCTCAAGACACCACCAGATATTTTGTCATAGCCTAGTTTGCATTTTACAAAATTTTATTGATAATGAAGTCATGTAGTGTATGGTCTGGCTTCTTTTATTTAATTAAAAAAAATTTTTAAAGAAAGTTTTACAATGTTGTGCTGGTTTCTGCCATACAACAATAACAGCTCAGCCATAATTCTGCATACATCTCCTCCCCACCCCGCCCCATCATCACAGAGGACCAGACTGGGCTCCCCGCAATACACAGCATCTTCTCACCAGCATCCGTCTTCCATCTGGAGCCTGTTCTACAGCGTGAAGTAAGTCAGAAAGAGAAAAACAAGTATGGCATATTAATGCATATATATGGAACCTAGAAAAATGATTGAACCTATCTGTCGGGAAGGAAATAAGACGCAGATGTAGAGAACGAATTTATGGACACAGTGGGTGAGGGAGAGAGTGGGGCGAATGGAAAAAGTAGCATCAACATACATACACGATTGGGTCTGGCTTTTTTAAAAATTAATTAATTAATTTTAACTGGAGGCTAATTCTTTACAATATTGTGGTGGTTTTTGCCATACATTGACATGAATCAGCCACGGGTCCACTGGGACAACCCAGAGGGATAGGATGGGGAGGGAGGTGGGAGGCAGATTCCGGATGGGGGACACATGTACACCCGTGGGTGTGGCTTCTTTCATTCAAGAAAGTTATTTTGAAATTCATCCTTGTATTTGCATGGTGCTGCTGCTGAGTAAAATTCCATTGGATAGATATGCCACTTTAAAAAAACTGACAATTTCAAATCTCTTTCCTTTTAAAAATTTATTTTCTTGAAGTATAAAGCCTTTGACTCTGTGGATAATGATAAACTGTGGAAAATTCTGAAAGAGATGGGAATACCAGACCACCTGACCTGCCTCTTGAGAAATCTGTATGCAGGTCAGGAAGCAACAGTTAGAACTAGACATGGAACAACAGATTGGTTCCAAATAGGAAAAGGAGTACATCAAGGCTGTATATTGTCACCCTGCTTATTTAATTTATATGCAGAGTACATCATGAGAAATTCTGGACTGGATGAACCACAAGCTGGAATCAAGATTGCCAGGAGAAATATCAATAACCTCAGATATACAGATGACACCACCCTTAAGGCAGAAAGTGAAGAGCCTCTTGATGAAAGTGAAAGGGGAGAGTGAAAAAGTGGGCTTAAAAAAAAAAAAGAAAAAGTGGGCTTAAAGCTCAACATTCAGAAAATTAAGATCATGGCATCCGGTCCCATCACTTCATGGCAAATAGATGGGGAAACAATGGAAACAGTGACAGACTTTATTTTCTGGGCTCCAAAATCACTGCAGATGGTGACTGCAGCCATGAAATTAAAAGACGCTTACTCCTTGGAAGAAAAGTTATGACCAACTTAGACAGCATATTAAAAAGCAGAGAAATTACTTCATCAACAAAGGTCCATCTAGTCAAGGCTATGGTTTTTCCAATGGTCATGTATGGATGTGAGAGTTGGAGTATAAAGAAAGCTGAGCGCTGAAGAATTGATGCTTTTGAACTGTGGTGTTGGAGAAGACTCTTGAGAGTCCCTTGGACTGCAAGGAGATCCAACCAGTCCATCCTAAAGGAGATCAGTCCTGGGTGTTCATTGGAAGGACTGATGCTGAAGCTGAAACTCCAATACTTTGTCTACTTGATGCAAAGAGCTGACTCATTTGAAAAAACTCTGGTGCTGGGAAAGACTGAGGGCAGGAGGAGAAGGGGATGACAGAGGATGAGATGGTTGGATGGCATCACCGACTCAGTGGACACGGGTTTGGGTAAACTTTGGGAGTTGGTGATGGACAGGGAGGCCTGGTGTGCTGCAGTCCATGGAGTCACAAAGAGTCAGACACGACTGAGCGACTGAACTGAACTGAACTGATAGTTGATTTACAGTGTTGTGGTAATTTCAGCTATACAGCAAAGTGACTCAGTTATACACATATTCTTCTTCCTATTATTTTCCATTTTGGTTTATCACAGAATATTGAATATAGTTCCCTGTGCCATAGAGGAGGACCTTGTTTATCTACTCTATAATGTAATAGTTCACATCTGCTAATCCCAAACTCCCAATCCAGCCCTCCCCTAGCCCCTTTGGCAAACACAAGTCTGTTCTCAATGTCTGTGAGTCTGTTTCATAGATAAGTTCATTTGTGTCATATTTTAGATTCCACATATGTGATATCATGTGATATTTGTCTTTTTATGACTTACTTCACTTAGCATGATTATCTCCAGGTCTATCCATGTTGCTGCAAATGGCATTATTTCACCAAATCTGTTTCTTTTTCAACATTGTTTCCACTTGCTCTTCAGTGAATGAGACGGTGGACCTGAAGTCATGAGAATTCTTCACCCTATTATACATGAAATGACTCCCTTTAATGTGTTTTATTTTATTGGCAAAGAAATGGACTTCCTGAGTTCATCCAGGATGTCAGCAACTGAACAAGCCAGGTTTCCAGAGAGTGAAGCAATGAACAGAATGTGTAGGGGCTTCCATATGTGGTGGAGAAGTACAGAAGATGAATCAGCCTAGAGATCTTGGAAAGAACAGAAGTAAGTGGTCAGATTGGAGATGGTGCTCATAAAACATTGCCTTTAAAAAAAAGGTAAATTTGCCAAGCTTTTCCTGGATTTTTTTTTTCTTATAAAAATGTTTCATATATTCCTACTATTTATGAAATTCAAGGATTTTCATTTTAGCCTTCCTGCTGTTCATTCATAGTTTCCATTAGTGTTTCAGCAAAACATTAAAGTTCATTTTATCTAGAGCACAATGGAATAAAATGAATACAAGGAGACAAGAATACAATTTGAGAATTCAAATATCTTCTGGTTTAGTCCAGACTCTCTAGTATGCACTTTTCTTTATTTTCTTTATTTAAACATTAACGATTTGACTTGTGAAGTTGCTCAGTCATGTCTGACTCTTTGTGATACCATGGATTGTAGCTTTCCAGGCTCCTCTGTCTATGGGATTTTCCAGGCAAGAATACTGGAGTGGGTTGCCAGGTCCTTCTCTAGGGGATCGTCTCAACCCAGGGATTGAACCCTGGTCTCCTGCATTGCTGGCAGATTCTTTACCCTCTGAGCCACCAGGGAGCTTCATTAATGGTTTATTTAAATCAAATTAGCCCCACATAGCCTTTTCCTTGCTTACACTGTAGATGGATGTTTCTTTCCCAGCTGACATGAATGGATTTCTTTCTTTTTCCTGCAGACAAAAACTATGATGTGTAAGGTCAGTGGAAGCCTGGTTGTTTATGATTGTTCTCTTGAGGTTAGGATTAGTGGTCAGGTGTGGGCAGAAGGGAGGGTTAGGACACCATCAGCATGGGCAATGCTAGAACTTTCAGCCTTAGGAGAGACAGTTGGATTGTAAAAGCAAGTTGCCTTCCTTGGCCAGAAAGTCAGTGACAGAGAAAAGGGGTCTGTTGAGACAGAACCTCCACGCTAGACACTGAGGAGCTTCTTCAGGTCTTTCTCCTAATTCCGTTAGAAGCCAAGTCCTAGGAACCCTCTTACACTGTTGGTGGAAATGTAAGTTGGTACAGCCACTATGGAAAACAGTCTAGAGGTTTCTTAGATAACTAAGAATAGAATTACCATATGGTTCAGCAATCCTACTCCTTGGCATTTATCCAGAGAAAATTATAATTTAAAAGGATACACTCATCCTCTGTGGGCTTCCCCTGTGGCTCAGATGGTAAAGAACCTGCCTGCAATGCAGGAGAACCAGGTTCCATCCCTGGGTTGGGAAAATCCGCTGGAGACAGGAATGGCAACCCACTCCAGTATTCTTGCACGGAGAATTCCCGTGACAGAGGTCCTGGTGGGCTACAGTCCATGTGGTTGCAAAGAGTGACACAACTGAGTGATTAATGCACACACAACACACACACACACTCACTCCCCTATTTTCATAGCAACACTATTCACAATAGCCAAGTCATGGAAACCACCTAAATGTCCATTAATAAATGGATAAAGAAGATGTGGTACATATATACAATGGAATACCACTCAGCCATAGGAAAGAATTAAATAATGCCATTTGCAGCAACATAGGTGCAACTAGAGATTATCATACTAAGTGAAGTAAGTCAGAAAGAGAAATACAAATACCATATGATATCACTTGTATGTAGAATCTAAAATATGACACTAACAATCCTATCTACAAAGCAGAAACAGACTCAGAGGCATAGAGAACAGACGTGTGGCTGCCAATGGGGAGGCAGTTGGGGGAAGGATGGTATGGGAAGTTGGAATTAGCAAATGTAATCTGCTAATTCTTTTATATATAGAATGGACACACAATAAGGTTCTATTGTATAACACAGGGAACTGTATTCAATATCCTATGATAAACCATCATGGAGAAGGATATTAGAAAAAGAATGTATACATATATACAACTGAATTGCTTTGCTATACAACGGAAATTAGCACATTGTAAACAACACTGTAAATCAACTA